TCAAAGTGCTATATATATTATTATCTTTTATAAGCCTACCTCCAGCTCTTCTAGCTATATCCTAACCTCTTTTGATGAGAGGAAGGCAAAGGACTTAAGATAATGTACATCATTAAAAATATATTTAATTCCTAAATTAAAAGGAGACTCATATTCTGATGTTATTTCAATAATGTGTAAAACTACACATTTTAAATGCCTTCAGAAGTAATTCTATTTTGCTCCTAAAGCCAAGATGTTAAGGATAAATTTTTGACATTCCTTGAAAGGCAATAATAAAGGTTTTGTGAGATTTGAACCACCTATTTTCCCCATATCAAAATAATCTTATGAAAAAAATGCTTCTTGAAGTACTCTTTCAAGCGACAGATAACATAATTGAAGAGACATTAGGAAATACAAAGAAAAACATTTCTAATGCTCTTACATAATAAAATGTTATCAAGGAAGATTAGAAGTGAAAAAGTTTAAAATAAAAACTGACACCAACAACTTATAAATTTTAGAATTATTAGACTCGTTGATTATGAGAGAATCAGAATACGATTAACATAAAATATCCATATCTAATAAAATTTTTTTTTAATAATATCTTTATGTACTTGATGGAGTAATGTACATGTTTATAATGCCAGTATGTAGATTCTGAGTTGGCTGAGCTATAGCCAAAGAGATTAAACATCAACCTGGAAGGAAGTTTTTAGTAGCATGACACAGGGCTCTATATTGGCTATAGGATCATCATTTCTATAAAAGTACTGGGAATATATGGGACGCTTATCAAAATTGCAAGTGACAATGCTGATTGTGTTGACTAACGTCATATAGGAAATTAGGATATCTCAACAAGTATACAGGAATAAATCACCTAGTACAGTGCTTCATATACTCAATAAATATGTTTTGAATAAATGAATGCAAGGTTCATCTATTCAGGCTCACAACAATGAGTTGTACAGGAAGAGAAGAGGCTTGACAGAAGTTCACGTGAAAAGAACCTTAGGAGTTTTCAATGACTACAAATCAACAAGGTAAAGCTACTACTAAAAACTTTAAAATAACAACAACAAAAATAACAGGCTTTCATTAATACAAGTACAGTGACCAAGTCAAGAGTGGTAACAAATCAACTAATAGTACTAGGTGCTGATCAGACCAAATTCTGGAATGTTGCATCCACTCTGAGTACCACAGAAATACTAACAAACTAGAGGGCATTCAGAGAAAGCTCATTAAAAGATGCCTGGAAACCACAAGATGGTAAGAACATTTAGGGAACTGTGATGTTCAGTCTGGAGAATAAAAGATTTAGTGAGAATGTAAAGACTACCTTCAAATTTCTGAAGTGTTTCCATGTTAAAAGTCAAAATATACTTGGAGTGGTATTATTCCATAAGGTAGAGTTAGAACCAATAGATAATTTCTGTTATGTTTATGTCAACATAAAAAATAACTTTCTAATATTTAGAGCTAATGAACAAATCAAAGGGACATAAGGGCATAAGGGAATAGGGGGTGGGTGCCTCAAAAGGTTGGCATTAGAACAACTGAAGCAAAAGCTGGGTGACTATCAGGGATATATCAGAAAAGATTCCTGCACTGGATAGGATTTTGGACCAAATGACCTCTGAGGTGTCTTCCAATTTTGAATTCTATGAACACTACATAACCTTCTAAGGTTTCTTCTAACTCCAAGATTTTGTTTTCCATAACTAAAAAAACAAACTATATTTCAGTTTCAAGACACTCAGTATATAGTTGAAACAAGTTATAATTATATAAGTACATTTATTAGAAAAAGTTAACTTAATCCAACTTTTTCTTCTCTTAAATTTAATACATTTTTATGTGTCACAATGTTACATATTTTTAAAAAAAACTCCTTTAGGTACATCAATACTTATTCAAATCATATCATTCAACAGGAGAAAAAACCCTAAAATTAGTTAGTAGACTTTTGAAAATAAACTTCTCCATACCATTCATTACTATTTTAAGTATATTAACATGTTTTAAATATATTAAATTTAAAGTTCACCCTCACAAGTGGCTATAAAACTAAGTAGAAAAGGCACAGGAGTTGTAATCTGAGAACAACCTAGAGCAAATATATAATTTCATTAGATACCAACATTCAAAAACAAGGCAGAAGTAGCACCTAAAATTCAGTAAGGAGTCCATAGGACTAAGTCAGATAAAATATTACTCATATAGTTATTATTGTAAAAAATATAAATAAAGAATTTAAATATCAGACATTAAAAAACAAAAGATTTAAAACCCTGCAATCTTACCGTAACTTATGTTTTGGTACATTCTCATAACTAAGTTCCTAATGATTTCAATCGAAAATAGAATAAATTGTTCAGAACAGCAACAGAGATAATGTGATAAGGGAATACGACACTCACGGCTCTTCATCAACAAGTCATAGAAATAGTTTAAAAGAAAAGTCACACTTACAGTCATATACACCAAAGACATATATAGACAGAGCATAATTAGTCATCTAAAATACATCACAAGAAAATGTAATAAAAACATTACATGTCTTTTTTTTCCTCCACATAAATGTTTTTGGATATTGTGCAATTTATCTGCTAAAAGGAATTACAGAAAAAGGAAGGTAATAGTTTTTCAGAGTAAATTCATTTCAATGACATCACTTTAAGATCTTTGAAAAACTTATTTTAATCTTCAAACAACTAGAAAAACACACAGGTGCCTTGCTGACCATGTTGGGCAAATACTAAGCCACAGTCCTGATTGATGATGATGATACCCTGTGCTAGGCTCCGTGGAGAACAGGATTGTTGAAACAGCAGAGGAATTTTCTTGAAAGTATTATCAAACAAGGAAGAAAAAGCATCATATAAAAATGTTGTTGGTAGTCCTACTACTGGTCCAATAGAAAAGGTTATAAAAAGCTGGAGGCCTAAGAGAGTCAGCATAAGCCACTTGAAAGCTGACAAGAAGGGGCTCCAGAAGTGTGCTGAAGAAGAAACTTGAAAAGAAATTAATAAAATCATATTCTTTTAAAGGCCAAGTTTGATTTCACATTCTGTCAATAGATATAGGTTACAAGCTTTTCCATCGTCAAATGTGTTTCACTTTTAGACTTGAAAAACAATTAGACACAACCTAGATCATTTAAATTAAGAAAGTCATTATCCCTGAGTTAACAATATAAATACAGTACATTGATTTAGGTGTGCAATATTTGGAATTTCCAATATATGAAATGACATTCAAGTTAAAAACAATCTAAGAGACAGAGTGCAAGAATTGAAATAGATGCAGCATTCAAAGAAAAGTGATTTTTTTTTCATGGAGCCTATGTACAATATTTCTAAATTCAACCACCTCATTTTCTAAGTTTGCTGAAACTTTAAGAAAATTCTTAAAACAGTAAAATTAAAGCATATTGACTTTGTAGTATCATGGAGTTTTGTTTTTTTTTTTTTACTTCATAAACACAATTATTTAAAAGCTTAACCAGCTCCTCCCCCCAAATCAAAGAAACATTTCTTGGGGGAAGGGTGGGAATCTCTGTCCAGAATTATGACTTGACTTTACATTAAAATCATGTATAAGGAAACAATTTTAAGGGAGTATGTCCCATGCAATCACTGATAAGAAAATAGATGTCTGCATGTGTATCGATATATATAGATATATATATATGCATATATGTACAAATATGTGTGTATATATATATAGATAGATATATAGATATGCCCACACAGTTAATATAAATATAGTAGCTCAGAAAAAAATTATATATAAAGATACATTCCCAGGAAATGTAATGATCCTTAAATTCTAATAGGATGCATAATCCCAAATAACAGTGCAACAACAAATAATGTTAAGGCCTTCTCCATTCAAAAATTAGAAAAAATCCTCTAGGGGTAAATTTGATAAATAAAAATTGGCCTATTTTGACCTAAGGTTTAATAATACATTTTTTGATCGCCTTCTGGAATGAGGCATTGTCAAGCAACATATTGTTAGTGTAAAGTGTGACATACTGGTTTCCCTTTTTTTTCTTTAATTATTTCAGTTTTTAAAAGAAAATATTCTATAGTTCACTGTAGTAGAAATAAGTTAGGTTTGGTTTCCAACCAAAATTATTACCTATACCTAGATAAAGCCCTCAAACCTCTCAGGGTAATAAAGGGAAGTTACAAGCAATCCCCACATTACGAAAATTTTCAACCCACTGATTTTACAGATCTAGACATTTTAATCCAAAAAGGTCTTTGTGCATCACAATGTTTCTATATTTCAAAAGGTCAGAAAATAAAATATCAAGCTTTTGTGAATGCCTTGAAAAAGTGTCTTTATAAAAAAAAAAAACCTCTCAATGCTAGAATTTAATCAAAGTGCTACCAATATGAACACACATCAGACAAATAAATTAGAAGCTAATTTATTTCTCTGGTTTATTTAACAATAGTCAAAGCCTAAAACATTAAATAAGAAAACATAGCCAATAGGCAAGACTGACAACAAGGGTTTTAAAAATAAAAACAAAAAACAAAAAAAACAAAAACAAACAAAAAACAAAAAAATGCAATGAGACTAGTCTCATTGGAACAGTTTACAGTTTCATTATTCAGAGATTTCAAGGAACAGAACAGTGCACTGTACTGCTATTTAAAAAAAAAAAAAACACAACTAAGGGCAAATACAAGTTGCACTGTACAGTATTTCCAGCCTTAGGAGTCTTAGAGTGGAGAAGGGAGGTGAAATCCTACCAGCCATGTTCTACCATGGCCAATCTGGACCCCACCTTTTCACCTCCAACATGACAGTGTCCCAGTACTTTAACAAATGAATTACAAAAAGCCTAAAATTATACAATATGTTGTAATAGTTAACATCATGTTTTCCTTTAAAAGGAAATATTTCTTCTGATTGCTTTTAGCCTGCAAATTTATCTCCTAAAACCATGTATCACTGATGACAGAGACCAGATGCTATCCTCCAAAAGGCACGTGAAATTCTCACCAATTTCCAGGGTTGACTTTTTTTTTTTTTTTTTAAACACTCACATATCTACAACTCCAACCCCAGGGCAGAATTTAGTTACTAGCTAAAATGGTCATTCTTAAAACCATTTATATGCTGTCTTTCCCAATATGGGTTGCTTAAATAGATGCACAGAACAGCCAGTGAGGTGAATTTAACACACAAAGATAGTGTGCCTCTTTGAATTCCTTAACAATCGAAATTTTCAAGATCAAATAACAGACCGAGGTGTAGCATATTTCTTCATACTTCCCTGAATACCAAATGTAAACACCTCAAACTGACTCAAAAGGTAAAGCAAAACAGGGCAACTTTGCAAATTTATTTGGACAAGTGGTGTAGAGTTAAATTCATTTTGACTAAGCAAATAATTATTAAGCGCCTACTTTGTGCAAGGCACTGGGCTGGGTACTGGGGGATTCAAACACAAAAACAAGTGTTCCTGCTTTTAAGGAGAGTTAAGATAAAAAAATTAAATAATTTTTCTCCTAAATAACAGGATCTAAAAATCTTCATGGACATTTGGCTACCTTCACGTAACAAACCAGAAAACAGGCTAGGGATTTTTGTTTTGTTTTAAAAGCAACTATTCATAAGAGATACCTTATTTCTGCCTGCAAAAAATTACTGTTTTTAAGAAATGCAGAACACGTAAGCATTCTGACACAAAGCAAACTATCATATACTAAGAATACATCAACCAGAAAAAGGATCCAATAACTTTAGAAACAGCTTAAACTAACCACCTCTAAAGATGAGTTTTGGCAAAAAGGAGAGAGATGTCTCAGAGCTGGCAGTCTGACAAGAAACATAACAAAAATTTAACACCTCATATTTGAGGGAAGGATAGGGAGGGTAAGTACTTCTACATGCTCATTTGCACATTGAGACTGAACTTAAAGCTTGCCTTCTCTTTAAAGAATATTTCTACTAAAGGGCTTGGAGAATTTTCTGAGCGAAGTTCCCATTTAAATTAAAAAGTAAATATTTTACATATTTAAATAAAAAAAAAACTATAACCTTATACCTAGGGCTCTAGGAAAGGTATTTTTCTACTTGCTCTATGATCTCTCCAAAATACTATTAAAAATATGACTGAATTAAATGAGACAAACATTTTAAAACCAAAACTTTCTCCTCCAACTCTACTTTTATTAATAAATTTAATCTGTCAAACTCCTCAGGGGGACATTTCTAAGTGGGTTTCTAAATCTTTAATTTCATTGCTTTAAAAAAAATATTATTTATGTAGGGGCAAGGAATTACAGTCAAAACCTAAAGAGAACACTCCATCTTTCTCATTTCAGTTAACATCAAAGACCAGCTTTCTTTTGTATTTTGAGATTATGGATGGCAGGCACAAATACATGAAAATGAAAAACCAAGCCACTGTTACATCTGTTCTATATTTACAAAAAAGCATAAAACAGGTTATTTTTGGTAACTTTTAAGACAAACACCTTTTCTTTAATGCATTTTAACGTGACTGTCAGATGAATCCACTGTCCCTTATATTAAAGAAATTGTTGCTTACATTAACTGTGTCACTTAAAGTATAAATCTGTTCCTGTTCCAAGCCCCATTCTCCCTCATCCTCATCTTCAGGTTCAGCTTCGGATCCATTACGTGTATTTTCATATAAAAAGACTTGCTCATCCACATGAGCTGGAGCTAATCTGTTTCTCTTAGCACTTACAACATTGGCAGATGAACCAAAAAGTCGTTCAGGGAAGACCCTTGTAGCTAAAATACACCAATACTTTTGAAGTACCTTTGGTAAGACAGGAAACAATGCCAATCGATCAGACCACCATTTAAGTGGATCTTCATTTAGGCCAAGTACTTTTTGAGACTTAAAGTTACTCAATTCCTCCACGATCTGGGCATGCCATTCCTCTTGATCTTCCACACCCCCTGTTTGGCAGAAGATTTCTGCCAGCATGTTATTAATTGCACTAGTTGGGGGTGGGGTGGAAGAAATGATCATTTTTTTCACCGGCGGCTCCTCAGATAACGAAAAGAGCTTTTCTTCGGGCCTGAAACTATTTTCTTTTACTTTTTCCAAGAGGCTTTTTGCTTCCTCTACAACTCTGTTTTCAACCTGCTGCCGTTCAAATGCAGAAAGGAAAGGCAGCTTCTTGTACCTAGGGTCCAGAAATGTTGCCACATTAAGGAACATGTCTATCTCAGGGGTTTCCTGATATGTTGTTGACAATTCTTTGGCTATCACTTCCTTTGCCATACTGATTTCTTTCGAATCATTTTCTTTGATGTTCAGGGTTGTGTTGAGAAGCATATGAAGGAGGGGCTTCACCATGCTTATTGTGGGATACTTGGATGCAGACATCATCTCGGCCACTTGCTTAAAGGGATGCAGCAGGTCCACCAGCCCCTCAATGGTATTCCATTCGCTGGTCTCCAACATAAGGTGGTGATTATTACTGTCTTCCACCAAAACAGCTGCAATGATAAACTGCTGCTCTTTCAATCGTTGCAACATGGCAAGTGTGCTTCCCCACCAGGAAACACGATCACTCACAAGCATGCAGTGCATTATGTTCTGCTGTTTCTGTTTTTCGCTTAACATGTACATGGCTACTGTAGACTGCTGAAAATATTCCACCAGTTTCCGGCACCTTGCCAAGAGACTGCCCAGCTTAGGAAGCTGGAAAGCTTGTTGTATTCCTGTATTGAAAGTCTGACCCAAACAAGGCATCTGAACTGGAATATCTAGAAGTGAGCAAGCTTTCACAATATCTTTCCCATAATCTGTTGTAGCACCAAAGACTTTTGTGTTGATCCCCCACTCAATGAAGATCTCATAAAGGACTCTTGTAATCGTCTCTGCAGTGTTTTCTTCAGGGACCTCAAATGTCTTTAAGCATCTTGAGTTAACAGCCAAACAATGAGAAGAGCTGCTATTGAGGAAATGAACTGCAAGGGTTACATAGGACCTATTCTGGTTTTGGCTTCTCCATATATCAGTGGATATTCCACACCACAAAATGTCTGTCAGTTCTTTCAAGACGATTTCTCTAACTGCATTATACTTTTCAGGAATTGCTTTTGTACAGAAATATTTTCTGCTAGGAAGTTCGTATCGTGGATCCGCTGTTTTCAAAAGCATCTTAAATGTAGGCTCATCCACTATGGAAGAAGGATACATGCCCTCACAAATTAGGCTAATCACAGCAGAGGTCAGCTCCTGGTGCTTTTTGTTTTCATAGCTGTGGCTGGTCTTCATGATTAAAGTGTCCTGAACAACCTGCTGTGAGGATTCTGGCTTCAGTTTTGAAAAAGCAGTAGCAAAGGCCTCCCTCATCTGTTCTGTGTTACTCTTTACAAATTCGCAAAATTCATCTGGATGATTTTTCTCCAGGTGGTATGAAAGGTTGGAAGTGTTTCCCGAATAGGCAATCTGTGCCATGCAAATACGGCAGTAGATCTTCTTCCACTGCAATATGCATCCTTCTGCATTGGTATCAAAACCGAAGTATTTCCAAACTTTGCTTTTTGCTCTCGGGTGAGCCACTAACTTTAGGTCTGATGGTGAACTTTCTAAGCTTTTATTCTCCATTGCTTCTCCACCACCGTCCTGCTTTTTGATCCTTCACTCATTAATGAGTACCTGCTAAAAAGCAGTAACATAAACAAAAAATGAGAAAATACTCCTGCTGTGATCACAGCTTCACTACAGAACTGAAATCAGCACATTTGCAAATTCAATAATAAACCCACTCTTCTAACTAGATTGGGCAAAGTTAGGATGCTGTCTCCGGGAATCGTGGCCTATATAAGATGTCCAGCTTGACAACTGTCTTTTCAAAGCTAAAGGAGGAAGGCTCCCATTAGAAGAATCAGGAATGTTTTTTAAAATTTTTTTTTAAATAAATAAATTCAATGCTATTACTTTAACATATAAAAATCGGTTTTTGAACTCAAAAGAACATTAAAGGCAGGAAAATCCATAATTATCTTACATTTATTTTCTGATTTTTAACTGTTTAGTATTAACTGGTCTTACCAAGCACTTGGATAGGAAAGTTTTGCAGATAATTAGCACGAGAACTTTAAACTCTATGGAAGTGTAAGCACGTGCACATAAACACACACACACACACACACACACACTTACTACATGCAGACACATGCATTTACAAAGTTGTAGTTAGGGCAGTTAGCATTTTTACTGCTAATGCCTTGCTAGAGAATCTGATGCTACTTGAAATATAACATAAGTACATAAGGCAAGAGGCAGCCTGAAACCAAGTGGGTCAAAAAAGCAGAAGTATCAATTTATGAGACCTTTTAATGATGCAAAAGAAAGTTCTGAACAAGCAACAAACTTTCTTCTCCCATCTAAAGAAATAGGCAGTATTTAAAATATAGACTGTTCTGTTTATAAAAATAATAATAATAATCATAAGCTTTATTGGAGTAATGCTGAATGTCTTAATCCTTGGAATTTTTTGACTAGCATGTTCTATTTCGTAGTTGTTGTTAAAAAACCAAATGAAAACAAGCTTATTTCTAGACTTGAGGTTAACAAAAACTAAAACATCATCCCCTGGAGTTTAGAAAGCAGCCAAATGCCCAAATGCTGAAGTTTCCTTCATGTTCCCATTCGACGTGCCATTTTTGTACTGTAGTATGAACAACTTTGAAGAGTTTTTTGATGCTTAGTGTAGAAGCCTAGCACAGAGTAGGTGCTTAATAAATTTTTGTTGAGTATAAGCAGGAAATCTAATTCATTTCAGTGAAATAACAAAAGTTATTTAAATTTTAGTATGTTTTTTTTAATTCTTGTGACTAAGTAATTTCGATTTAATATAAATATTGCAAAGATCACATCCTATAATGATGACTTCAAGACACAATACATTACTTTAATATGGCTTAGAAGGGGAAAAAATGCTATGACAAACAATAGTTTAATTGTGGATCTTAATTGTTCTAGGATTTATGTTGGCAAGCATATCATTTATGCATTTTATTATCATTACTGTTTACATGAGTCTTCATTTCTATCATTTATAATGACTTAAGTAAGTTATGATACAAATGGAAGCCTGTGTATTTAAGTGTAATGTCTCATGGGTGATAAATATTCAAAGTGAAAGAGGCATCATGGTTTAGTGGAAAGTATACTGGATTTGAAGTCAAAGAACCTGAGTTCAAGTCCCAGCTCTTCTATCTACTAGCAGAGCGACCTTGGGCAATTTACTTATCGTCTTTGGGCCTCAGTTTTCTCATCTGTAAAATGAGATAGTTGTACTTTGATGAAAACTAACGTCCTTTCCATTTCTAAATCTATGAGCTTATGATCCTACAATACATTTCAAATTAAGTCTAGGTGAATATCCAAAAAAATTGTGTGCTTTATCTCCCCATTTAGATTGTAAGTTCCTTGAAGACTGTCCTTCTTTTACTAATTGTATCCCAAGTGCTTTGCACAGTACTTGGTACATGGTAGGCACTTAATAAATGTTTATTGGATTGGATTGGAACATGCTAATTCCTGGAAAAAGTCTACAAACTGGGCTTATTGCAAAGAATGAAGTTTAACAGAAAACAAACTATAAAATATCAAGTCAACAGAAAAAGAAAAAGGAAAAAAAAGTCTGGTTTTGTCCTTCCTTCAATAGCTTTTAATTTAGAACTTTACTGCTACTTTTGCATGGGCTTGATATTTAAAGCAATAAATAACAGCCCTCCTAAGGCAGCTAGATAGCGCAGTCGATAGAGCACCAGGCCTGGAGTCAGAAGACCCAAGTTCAAATTTGACCTCAGATACTTACTAGCTGTGTGACCCTGGGCAAGTCACTTAACCCTGCTTGACTCAGTTTCCTCACCTGTAAAAATGAGCTGGAGAAGGAAATGGGAAACCACTTCAGTATCTTTGCCAAGAAAACCCCAAATGGGGTCACAAAGAGTCAGATATGACTGAAAAATGACTGAACAACAACACAGACTTTCCAAATACGCTACTTTATCCTAGGATGAGAAAACAACCTCGAGTCCAGACAAAGTGCAAGGTACTGAAAATGACAACATAATGAGACCCTCATTATCTACTATCATTACTTACTTATAGGAAAGTAAACACGTCTGTGCCTTGCTTGTAATTGGCTATAGGAGGATATGGGTAATTTTCCTCAAATTCTAACATTTTCACTTAAGAAACACAACAGCTTTCTACTAGAAGAATGTTCAAAGCCTTTGCAAGGTAAGACTTTTCTTATATAGGACAACCAAAGGAGCAGTGGCTTTAGCCTACCACCTCCATAATTAAGTGGGGCCATATGATATTCTCTGACAATTTTCTCTACATGTCAAAACTCTCCATCTGGTCTCTAAGGCACAATTCTTGTGTCCTAAATGTCCCAGTAGGGTTACAAGCCTGATATTAAGTGACTAGAAATACTGTCCACAGATGGGTTTTTTTCTCCCATATGTCATAACACCCCTTACCTTTAAAGCACTTTCTTATTTGTCATAAAAAATACCCCAATCATTGGCTCTTCACAAAGCACATGGTTAAAAAGAACTAAGTGTAAATTATAATGCTTCCTCTTCATAAAATATATTTAATAAATCAACACATTACTTACATGCATACATACTATACACACATTATCATCACCTACACATCCTGGTAAGACCGATGGCTGAAACTCTCAAATTCTTAAAATTAAAATATTCAATATTTTTAAGATGCTTTGCAAAAAAGTTCAACATTTTGATTATATGAAGAAAATGGCTAGATAAAAAAGAAAACGGATTCTTACATAAAATATTTTAATTAACTAAGTTATTCATTTTTAAAGCTATAGGTGCCAACTCCCCACCAAAAAAAATGCTACATTTAAGTGATTCACATCTTTTAAATCTATGGCCACATTTTTCTGGATATTGATTTCTCAAGCTCCGTATTAACAAACTTCCTCCATATTAGAAAAGACAACACATATTTTACAAGTTAACTAACAATGGAAGGTAAAATTTTCTCTAAAATAACTCCCCGGTTAAGAAAAGGAGAAATCTTGTCTCTGAGGCACCATTACTCAGTGGCACAGACAACATGATTCCAAAGAGATAAAACACAGTATTATTACCTGGTTTAGTGCAAAGATTCCTGATCTGGGTATCAAAAGACTTAGGTACTAGTCCCAGCTCCCCCACAAACTATTTGTGAACATTAAGCAATTTAATCTATTTACCTCTGTGGGCCTTCCCCATCTGTAAAATGTAGAGGTTGGACTAGATAAGCTCTAAAATCCTCTGACTTTTAAGGGGTTACAAATCATTACAATGTTGAGATGTTCATGTCACAATTAGCATTAGCTCATCCTTCTAAATATACTGACTAGATTTCCTGTTTTTAAAACCTGATTATGAGGTAATATCACACCTCCAGGAAGATATTTCTACATGCATATATTTTTAAGCAAACAAAGCACTTGGAGGGGAAAAGGGATACAGTAATTACAAATGTAATAAATGATCTTTGTAAACACATAACTAGCAAATAAATACTGATGATCAATAATTAATGTGTTTTTGGAGAATTCACACTAACAATATAAATATTTTAATGAAGTTTTTTAACCCATTTATAGAATTTTTTCCCTTTTTCTACTTAATTGAGGTTACAAGTCACTTAGTCTAAAGAGGTTCCCAAAGTAGGTGATACTGGGGGGGGGATAGTAGCCTCAGGTGCAATTGGGGGGGGTGGCACTGAATAAAAATAAGGGGGTAGTGGAACCATAACCAAAGAAGAGAAGAAATTTTTGAAAGACCATTCCTATGTTTCATGTATTATGGAATAGAATTAAAGTTGAAGTGATTACATTATTTTCCAAATAAACACAAAAAATTCAAGTTATAATTGAGCTGTGGTCAAGTAAGCTGACAGGTCTTAACAAGCAAGTGTTGGCAGGCAAGTATGTGGAATTGTTGGGAAGTCCACCATTCATCCACAAAAACATGTGCATGTAATGACTTGTTTACAATGAGGTACTATATGGTTACATAACGAAATACTTCATCATCAAAATTTCAAGCAAGAAAAAAACCACAATTTACACTAAATTATTAAATTTGTCATTTTTAAAAATATTTTTTTAAATGATGCAAATTTTTTTTAAAAGCAGTTAAAGGGTTAAAGAAAGTAGATTTCCAGGGGGGCAGAGTAATTTTTTTTTTAAAAAGGGGGCAGTAGGCCAACTGAGTTTAGGAACCTCTGGTCTAAGCTCAATTAAAGAAAACAGTACCCACACTCACACCTTATTAAAATTATCTTTTTAAACTCCTTAGAACCCATTCAATTTCAGTGTTCTCCAGAAGACTTCTAGCTACTTCCATTCTGAAATATGAAACTTGTAACTTTATTAGCAGTTTGGCAGTCTTATGACCTTTGCACAGTTTAAGCCATCTGAAGCTCCATTCAGCATTCTAAGCAATGAGTTTTACCGTGATACAGATATCTGGATTAAAAAAAAAAACTTTTTAAAAGCCAAGTTAAATTCTACTTAAGAAATAATTGTATATAGTACAGATCTTTAAGAATAAACAAAATAATGGTAATCTTCCCTACCCCACCATAGGACTAATCTAATCAAGAGGGAATGATCAGCTTTGGGAAAAAAAAACAAAAAAACACCCCTTTAAAAGCTTAACTTCATATATTTTTATTTAGAGATTGTGCTCCTCTGAGATGTTAGTAGCAGTTATACAACTTCTAAAACCTATTTAATTTCCTGAAGTTTGTTATATTGCAAGTTGTCTCTTGACAATTATATTATCTTTAAGCAGAAAAATTTACAAACAACTGTTTTTTTATTATTTTTCTTTTAAAATGCATGACAACAAAGTCTAACGTGACCATTTCAATTATTTTACTTAAGAGATATTATATCTATGACTTAACCACTCTAAATTTAATAATGTCCTTTACCAAGTAAGGAATTCCTTATCAAAAAGTTTTAACAGTCTTCCAGTACTTGACTCTCAATCCAATTTATACTAAACAATTTATGTTCCGAGTCTCATTCTCATAACACCACGGTTTCTCAATGTACCAGTTAGACCTAGCAATTTATAATACTTTAAAGTGGGGAGGGGGAGGGTGGTCTATGTTTTTCTATTCTGTTCTAATTACTACAGATTTTCTAAGTGTTACTTAATGGGGTTGTGAATGCCCCAATTCCTCTAGTCAGAAAAACTAAGGCTAGAAAAATGTTCAGTTGACCTTTAAACTAAATTAGGCTCTACAATTTGTTTAGAAGAGTAGGGAATTCGACCTCATTTTAAACATTTTTACATATTCTTTTAAGGACAAGAAAATTAAAAAGTCAAAGAAATCAATTTATCCAATTAACTAGGTTTGATGGCATCTGGACTTTGCAAACTCTACATTCATTTCACATTATTTTTTTTCTTGGTGTGGTACATAAATACACTCACAAAAGTTATTACCTCTCTTTACCCATTCCCAGTCTTCATCCCCTATCAACTTTAAGAAGCTGTAAATTTAATTTCTCTTCTAGTCATGCATTAAGAATCCAATCCTTACCTACAACTCAGCTGCAGCAATATTAAAGTTCTCTGGAAACCCACATTTCCTTCATATGGGCAACTGGGGAGAGCAAGGTGGTAATGCTGACTGTGCAATTCGGCAGCAAACTCAAAAGAATGAAGGAGGGCTAGAGAGCCAGGTAAAATTGGTCTAAGTTACATACTGCAGGCATGCCCTGGGTTGTCACATCCAAAAATAATCTGGAGTTGGAAAACGACCTGAGATTTGTAACCCAAAACAGATAAACAAGAGGTTGCTATTTCTTACAAAGGATTTAGCAATGTTGGGGGAAAAAAAAAAGCCAAGCCATAAGAACCCAACTCTCCTAGCCCTCAAGAAGCAAAAGAAGAGGAGACCCTGAAAGTGGCTGAGACAAAGCTTGGGGAGGGAAAGCGAGTGTGTGCAGCAAGCAGAAAAGCCAGGTCGGCCAAGTGTGCAAGCAAGGGGGGAGGGGGTGCGAAGAGGGGTGGGGATGAGGGAAAGAGGAGGAGGAGGAGGAGCAGCGGGGCAGCTGCCACGGCTAGGCCGGAGACCGGCCTCCCGTCCTCACCCCCACCCCCACCCCGCCAGCCCCGCGGCCCGCAGGATTACGGGAGCGGAGCTAGCGGCCCCTGCGGAGGGCCGGGCAACCAGGGACGGTGATGATGCGGCCGGGAGAAGCCAGCCAGCCCGCCCGCCAGCCCGGGCACGGGGCGCGTGCGCACAAGACCGGCTGCCGAACTCTGTCAGGGGACCAGCGATTCGCGCTTCCGCCTCCCCTCCCCCACGCAAACCCCTCCAGCCGCAGCCCCGGGAAGGAGGGGGGTTACAAGCTCCGCCTAACGTGCTCCCGGCCCAGCGGGGGTCCGCAATGCCGGGGGGGCAGGAAGCTAGCTGTTTTCGGCCAGACCAAGGTTAAGGTTTTGGGGGCTGCGGCTACAAAGCCAGCCCCCGGGGTCTGCCCCGCTCTCAGTCCTCCCTCCTGTTCCTCTCCTCCCCAGGGTCACAGGCTGAGGGGGGGGAGAGGGAAGGACTGGAGAGAGGAGTACAGCAAACCTTCGCCCCCTCCCCAGGTCCCGGGCCGCTGCTTCCAACAACAAACAAACCACTCCATCCAGGCCGGGGGAAGAGGCTGCGGAGGACTCGGGGAGAGGCAAAGGCGCGGCGGAGGGGAGAACACACACACACACACACGCACACGCACATCCCCCCGGGGAGGAAAGTTCGGAGGCTGCAAAGAGAATAAACACACCGCCGAGAAAGCCCAGATTCAGGTGCCAGCCTCCCCCTCACCCCCCTCCTCCGTAATAAAGGAGGAAAGAGAAGGAACACCCCCTTCTCTCCTTCCTCCGCCCTCCCCCCAACACACTCACACTCACACATACGCACACACACTCTCACACCCCCTCCCAGACCACACCTGACACACGCCGGAGAATCCCGAGGAAATCGACCCGGGCTGCTTTGCTAACTAACCTGGCAGGGAGAAGCCGTGGCGGTAGCGCCGGTAGAGCTGCGACAGGACCACGGCCACGGCCATGCAATAGACCCTGAAGACCGGGAGGATGGCAGACAATAGCGACATGGCTGCTCCCCTTCCTCCTCCTCCTCCTGCGCCGCCGCTGCTGCTGCTGCTGCTGCTGCTCTCCGCCGCGCAGACGGGAGGGGTGGCGGCGGCCCAGCCTCTGCCCCTGCCTCCGGCCCGGCCGGGCCCGCGCGCCGAGCCCACACCCAGCGGAAGCGAGCTCTCCTCGCCCGCACAGTTCCGCTAGCGGCCGCCGGCTCGGGGAGTCTGAAGCGGGGCTCGGCCGGACCCCGGACGCCTTGCCCTTCCCGTTCCCCTCGGGGACGAGGCCGCTCTGCCCCCGGCCCGCCTCCGCCCCGGCTCCTGGGTCCGGCCGCCCCGCGGTCACCCCGAGGCCTCGGGCCTGAACCAGCCCCTTCCCCTTCCCCTCCCCCGCCCCCGGAGCTTTACAGGGGCTTTTCTGCTCCGCGGCTTCTGGGGATTGGCCGCCAGCCGCGGGCACGAGTGTGGGCCGGGACACCAGAGACACGGCGGAGGTCTGGGGGAGGTCGGCCCCCGAAGAGAGGCAGCCAAGGCCGACACTGAGGGGACAGGCGGAGGCGAACTGGGTGCCGTTTTTGAAGGCCGCTGATGCTTGAAGACAGGTGGAAACACACCTCTGCCCCCCCCCTCAGGGTCCCTGCAGACACCCCTTCGGCGTGACTGACCAGAGGCCAGGGGCCGTCTTTTTGCCTCTTTTTGTATCCCCAGTGCTTATCAGGGCCTGGCACATAGTATGCGTTTAATAAATTTTTATTAATTAAAATCAAACTTCTGCCCTCTCCTTAGAGAGGGTCCATTGGAGACAATAACTTCAGCATTTGAGTCACTCGAGGCCAGGAACTGGCTTTTTGTATCCCTAGGGCTTATCAGGGCCTGGCACATAGTATGAGTTTAGTAAATCTTATTGATTAATTAAAATCAAACTTCTGCCCTCTCCTAGAGAGGGTCCATTGGAGACATAACTTCAGCATTTGAGTCACTTGAGGCCAGTCTTTTTGACTCTTTTTGCATCCGCAGTGCCTGGCACATTGTAATAATTTAATACATTTTATTGATTGATTGAAATCAAACCTCCGCCCCCTCCTCAGAGGATCCATTGGAGACACAACTAATGCATGTACTGACCAGAGGCCAGGGACTGTCTTTTTGTCCTTTTTTGTATCCCCAGTGCTTAGCACAGTGCCTGGCACATAGTAATAATTTAATAAATTTTAGTGATTGATTGGAATCAAACCTCTGCCCTCTCCTTAGAGAGCGTTAATTGGAGATATAACTTCAGCATTTGAGTGACTTGAGGCCAGGGATTGTATTTTTGCCTCTTTTTGCATCCACAGTGCCTGGCATGTAGTCATAATTTAATAAATTTTATTGATTGAAATCAAACCTCTGCCCTCTCCTTAGGGGATCCATTGGAGACACAACTTATGCACGTGACTGACCAGAGGCCAGGGACTTTCTTTTTGCCTTTTTTTACATCTTCATCAAGGTGCTTTAGTAAATGTTGATTAGTTAGTTATTAATATACTTAAAGTAAAACCACTGGTCCAGTTTTCCCCAGTTGCTCTCACAGTATCTTTTCCAAGAGCCACTTTAGTCAGTTAGTCAAGAAATGTTTATTAAGCACTTACTAAGTGCTGGGCATGTTTACCAAAAAAAAAGTAAAAAAGATGACTGTTTGCACTGGAGGACCTCTCATTCTAATGAGGGAAACCAAATAAAAATAACGATGTACATACAAAACATATACAACCGGGCATGAGTAAGGTAGTCTCAGAAGGAAGAGACTAGCAGTAGGGGTGATCAGGAAAGGCCTCTTGCAGAAGGTGGGATTTGATCTAAGTCTTGAAGGAAGCAAGGGATGCCAAGAGGCAGAGGTGAGGAAGAAGAGAGCATTTCAGTATCTGAATTCAGTCAACTGCCTATAAAATTCTAGAGTTCAATGGTATGAAATAGATGTGACTGTGAGTTCCAGAAAGATGTGCCAGTGGAAATCAAACTTTTGGCAGATCCCACACTAAGCTGAAAGGGCTTCAAGTATGGACCCCAAGATGAAATGTAGTTTTGCTGAAGGACTAATTAGCTAATTTTCCAGAGACTCATCACCAGGTTCGCTTCAGGATAATGAAATGTTTTACACACAGGGACTGTCAAAGATGATCTACTAGGTCATTGAGCATTTAAGATCTTTAAAGGTAGAATGAGTACCCATAACAAGGAAATTACAGATTGTTCAAGTCTTGTCAAGCATACAGTCCAACTCATTCTGTCTTCACTTATTTCCTTTCTCAAGAACCATTAAAATGGAAATGATAGTGAAGAGCATGGAAATCACTTCCCTATAAGAAGAAATAAATTCCATTTGCCTTTGGAAGGCAGCCTGAAACACACAAAAAATAAAGGTTAAAGAGTGTGCAACACAGGCCCTTGGTATAAGTTGTATTGGTAAGCAATATAAATGATATGCAAATCAACTTAGAACAGCATACATATTACAATAATATATTTAAAAGGACATAGATTCTCAACAAAATATGAATGTTTATCATTACTACTCAAAGCCCATTTCATCTAGTAACTCCAGTCTAATTAACACCACAGCTATATGAAGTACATCCAGTGGTCAGCAGATATATTACAACCTAAACCTCAGGTCTCCATACAATACTGCCTTCTACAGAAAGAAATAGGAACTATGAAGATGCATCTCATTTGTTTTCACTCCGGGTGTTGGTATGAAATTGAAATTTTTAATTGTTTTGTTAAGACTTCAGCTAGATTTAATATTCCCCTTTGCTGTCCCTTACCCTTGCAAGTTTACTCAGGTAACCTTAGGTCACTTGGGTCACAATTATATTTTTGTGATTCAGGTAATCTCAGATTGGGTGAGAATTTTTATCTTATGACTGGTATCTTCACTCTTGTTTCATGACTTGACCTTCCAATTAGTCTTTTACTTTATGGCCAGTCAGAAGAAGACACATAGTATAGACTGCTCAAGATTTGCTCTGTCATCTTGTTAATCACTATAAAAGACCCTGTCAACCCTCATTCTGGGTCTTTGGTCATTGAGAGGCATTGACCCTATTTATTTGCAGTTGATAGCCTTGCTAATAAATGGAGCTCAGAACTTTGTCAGAATTTCTTTCATTAATCCACAGATAAATAAAAGGAAAAACTAATAAATAAAATGGGGGAAAGATTTTATATACTGTACCCAATCTTCTAACCACATGCCCTAGTAAAGTGTCATTGCTTAGCCTAACTCTAATTTCTTCCTAAATATACCTTTATGGGTGACCTGATACTTGGCCTGCTTGGAATCTGAAGCCTTTTAGCATCTGGAGATGATGGCATCAAAAAAGGATGTTTTATTCATGTAGGAGCAGAATTTCAGAGTTAGAAGGAAGCTTACAGATTATCTCACGTAATACCCTCATTTTACAATCAAGGAAACTGAGGCCCAAAGAAATAGGATGAATTACCCTGGGTTAACCAAAAGTAGGCTAGCCTTTGGTCATGACAGGCAAATACTTGTCAATACATCTATGGTATGCACACCTGTGCAGCAGGAAGGCCTTATGCCCTCAAAACTACAAGGTAGTGGTAGAAGCTAATATACTAATGCATTCTTGGTGAACCAACCAACAACGTCTGGGGCAGAGGAGAAAATATTAATGTATTACCAAATTATTCCCTTTGTGTATTGTTCAAGGATACCAAAACCTCCTATCTTTTTTAAAAATCCCAAAGTAATCTTATAAAAGGACAAAGTTAATTGAGTGTTTAAGCTGGGGAGTTATTGGCTAACCAGGATTTGAAGACTGCTCTTCTGACTCTCAGTCCAATACTATGTGTTAACACTGGGAACACTGGTCTGAGAATAGGGTTTACAATTACAAATCATCTTAGAGATAATTCAGCAAGCCTTTATTAAGCTCTTACCACTGTGCTAGGTACTAGGAATACGAGTAGAAAGAATGAAATGATTGCTCCTCAATATGAGTTTACATTCTAAATGGGGAAATAAGTTCATATAAAAACATATGCAATATAATAATAGTGTTTTATATAAAGTATGCATACATGTGTGTGTATATATGTACACAAAAATGTATGTGTGTGTATGTGTGTGTGTATACAGTATATAGGGGCAGTAGCAGCCTAGGGATCAAGAGAGGCTTCATATGGAATATTATGTCTGAGCTGCATCTTAAAGGAAGACAGGGACTTGATGAAACTGAGGTAAGGAAAGAGTGCATTCCAGGCATAGGTTATGTTCATTGCAAAGGCAAAGAGTTGGGAGATAGAGTATTCAGAGTGAGGAACAGAGAGAAGACCAGATAAGGAAACTGATGCTCAGAAAGTTTCAGTGACTTGCCCAAGGTCTCACATATACTAAGTAGCAGAATAAGGATTTGAACCTAGGTCCTATTACTTCGAATCCAGTGCTCTTTTCATTTGCTTTTCTCCGGGGCAAGACACATTCCTTTATAAGGAATAGGAAGAAAAGGAATTCCTTTATAAGGATAAGTGAGGAAAGACACTAAAGGAGCTTTCAAGGATGAAAAAAAAAATGATTCCTATTGCAAGTATGTGGTCCCTGAGTAAAGGCAAAACTAAAATAGAGACCATTTAATGAGACTGACTTCTGCCCAGCAACAATAAGAGGCTTGCCTAAAACTAAATCTGCCCAGTAACAGGGGGCTTTATCTGTTGAAAAGAAAACCTTGTTATTTTCTGTATACATGACTAACCCCTATGGTTTGTGCCCATGTCCTTGAATGTTGCAAGTCAAGTTCCCTGTTTTGTGACCACATGCCTGAACTGTTTTGTAAAGTACCCAACACACCTGTTTCCTCCTTCCCTGGGGTTAACAGCCCTCATCGGAGCATACCCCTCCCCAGATTAGTGCCCAAAACTTGGGTATAAAAGCAAACCTCTGTCTTACTCAAATTGCTAGTACTCCTAAGGGCTAGCCTGCTGCTTTTGCATCAACAAAGCCCTCTTGCTTGAATTTTTTCTGGACAACCGGACTCCAAACTCCATCTACCTTTTCACATTCACTCAAGGGCATTTTGTTTTCAATGAATTGAAATCCTTAGATT